AAAATGAATGAAGGTAGCCTCCAGGGAGTTCATACTCGGGATAGTTGTCATCAACACACTGACTTAAATTGAATGGTCCTCCATCAAGATATTGTGCAATAGTTATTCTTTCATCGTCTTCTATTTTATAAAGTACTCTCCTGTGGGTAATATAATATTATATTCATATTGACGGGCCACAATGATGGAAATGGCGTGCGCCTATCTTACTAGTTGGAAATGCAAGTCAACCCCAAACTGTGTAATTCTGTCAAATTTACCTATAGGAACCACAAACTGTTTTGTATTAAGTACGCAACATGTTCACAAAATGACCGTCAAGTTACAAACAAAAGAAATACAGAGTTCTTTATTTGGATTTTATTCTGACCTCGACGACGATAAAATAGAGTTTTGTCCCACTGTACACGCTGACAGTTTACAAACAAGCTAATCCTTCAAGTGTCTCTGATAAGACAACTAATAAAACGGTTTTCATGGTGAAACAAAATGGCCGATGTTTGAAAAAAAATTGCTATGTCAGAGTGCGACACTGAGTGGCAGATTTTTCTTTGCCTCGTCTGTCAACGCTTTCTTTCTTTTCTTCGCCATTGCGTTAGAAAAAAATTGTATTAGTAAAATAGAATATTGACTTGGAAAATAAAACGATTAAAAGAAAGTTGTGCAAAGTTACAGTACTCCTTTCGCACAACCTCCCGCCCGCTTCCTGCTTTCCAATCACCTTTTTCTCTCGCCTTTGCGACCGCTTGTTGAACTCGACCGGACAATTTCCGCTTTATTTTTGACCGCGCAAACCGCGAAATATCAACGCCCACCTGCTCGCTTGCGCGCATTTAAGATTCGGACTAACAGAATAATTTCCGAGGTTCACATTGTCTTATAATTGTCTTTCTGGTTTTTATAGATGTTCAACAGCTGACAAAAGTTCAAATACTTTTTGTTTTAACTATCTATAATTATATGCACGCAACCTGACCCTTTGACCTCGATTTGGCTTGGACTGAATATTTTATTTTAAACAATATTCTGACGTGAAATACAAAGCGATAAGCGGTCGATGTAAAAGCGGGAGGTTGGGCGAAATGAGTACTGTATGACCATGTTTCTTCGACGAAGTCTCGACTGACAATAATGCTGACAATAGACGTTAGATAAACACGCATTGTTTGCAACTGGAAGCTTATCACCCGTTATATCAGAATCGTCAACAACAGAGTATACAGATAAGATGTTATCATTTAAACCCTTTCAAAGATAAACATTATGCAAATATCCACGAAACGCCAGTTGTAGTCTTTTTTGCTAGTGTTTTAAAATACTAATTTGAGCAACGTTATTTTGCAATTTCGATCTTTTGTAAACCTGGGGTGATGTATCAAGGTCTAAAGTAATCGTTTTATAAATTTTTGAAAAATCAAGAAAAAAGTGAAAATTTCCCTTCTCGCTACCTTAAACACAGTTTTTGGTTAAAGAACTCATCTTATGAAAATACACTTCTACTGGTAATAGAAAAAATACAGTATGTATTAATTTTGAATGTGATCACCTTTGGCTTGCATACTTTATATAGAATCAATCCCATGTTTTGCAAACTAGGAACATCACTTGTTTGTAAAGCTGGTTGATACAAGTGACGCCATGGCTAGTATCATCCTCAAACAAAGGTGAGAGGCGTATCAGCCAGCTTTATGAATAAGGGATATATATAACTTTTTTATCACATAACCAACTCAGAGTTTCAAAACGAAAAAAAATTTAAAATTTTATCGAAGTGAGCTTACGAATCATATGCTAATTAATTGTGATGACAAAGTTTCCAGTTAATGGTGCCAATGGTTAGTGAAATTGGCAGAAATATTACTCTTTTTAGCAACAATTAAGTGAATGTCATTACACAATGTGAGTCAGAAATTCTTATATCGCAACAATAAAACTGGTGCCACTGCATGATTTATTTTCTTCCTCTGCATATGCATAGTGCTTCCTTTGAAATATCTGTTAGGTATGTTCTACAGTATTAAAAACATCACTACTGTGAGGGATATGTAATATTGTTAAATATAAAGTCACTATATATCAACACTGATACTCTCGGCTGTCGCCCTCTTTCGAATTGCCGATGGAACTTTCAAGTCATAAATATATTTCTAGAGCTGCGCACTTCCGTAAAACATGAAAATCTTTTTCAAATATATTTTTCTCTGTGAAAACTTCTCAGCAACACCAGCTGACAATGTGTCTGGACATTAAATACACTAAAATTACTCCAAAAATATTTCAATGGCGATGGATACACCGTTAAAAGGGTGCAGAAACCCACCGATATGGTGTTTCCAGGTTGATCTGCCATGTTGTTTCTGTGCTAGCTTGGTCACTCCGCTCCTTCGCTTGTATGTGCTCCCACTTCCTCTGGTAATTTTTTTAAAACCTAGAAGCCTTCTACATGTACTTTGTATTACATGGGTACATGTTTTTTTTTTCTAGTGAGTAAACCATCTTTGTGGGCTGGATTGAATTTTAAACCATATGAGAGTCCAACAGCATCTGCAGCTAGTACACTCTCCTTGTCATCGTCACCGCATGCCTCACCTATGATGGTAGTAGCTCTGGATCCGTCATTGAGTTCAGGATCTTCTGACTCCACCAATCTATTGGATATCAGGTAAGACATCTACCAGGCTGCTTGTACTTGTATCATTGAGTTCAGGATCTTCTGACTCCACCAATTTATTGGATATCAGGTAAGACATCTACCAGGCTGCTTGTACTTGTATCATTAAGTTCAGGATCTTCTGACTCCACCAATCCATTGGATACCAGGTAAGACATCTACCAGGCTGCTTGTACTTGTATCATTGAGTTGAGGATTTTCTGACTTCACCAATCCATTGGATACCAGGTAAGACATCTACCAGGCTGCTTGTACTTGTATCATTGATTTCAGGATCTTCTGAATCCACTAATCCATTGGATACCAGGTAAGACATCTACCAGGCTGCTTGTACTTGTATCATTGAGTTCAGGATCTTCTGATTCCACCAATCCATTGGATAACGGGTAAGACATCTACCAGGCTGCTTGTACTTGTATCATTGAGTTCAGGATCTTCTGATTCCATCAATCCATTGGATATCAGGTAAGACATCTACCAGGCTGCTTGTACTTGTATCATTGAGTTCAGGATCTTCTGACTCCACCAATTTATTGGATACCAGGTAAGACATCTACCAGGCTGATTGTACTTGTATCATTGAGTTCAGGATCTTCTGATTCCACCAATCCATTGGATAACAGGTAAGACATCTACCAGGCTGCTTGTACTTGTATCATTGAGTTCAGGATCTTCTGACTCCACCAATCCATTGGATACCAGGTAAGACATCTACCAGGCTGCTTGTACTTGTATCATTGAGTTCAGGATCTTCTGATTCCACCAATCCATTGGATAACAGGTAAGACATCTACCAGGCTGCTTGTACTTGTATCATTGAGTTCAGGATCTTCTGATTCCACCAATCCATAGCATAACAGGTAAGACATCTACCAGGCTGCTTGTACTTGTATCATTGAGTTCAGGATCTTCTGACTCCACCAATCCATTGGATACCAGGTAAGACATCTACCTGGCTGCTTTTACTATTACATTTTCTTCCATATGAAGTGTATAAAATGTATTTATTTGTTTTCATTGTATCTTGTATTTATATGTATAATGTACTTTGGAAATAAAGAGAATTGATTTGTCACAAGAGGAATCATTTTAAAAATACCTGATAGTTGGTTGCATCGCAAAATGATGGTGCACAAAACACAATAAACAAATAATATAAAAAAAGAAACTTTTTTTTTTAATTAATATTAATCAAAATGGTGCTGTAGCGGCCCCCATTTCTGAATAAAATGTTTTTCACTTAAAATATGTTTTTCAGTACTCATTTCTCCTTTACATTTCTAAAATGGGTTAAAGACTGGGTTGCATTTGTATAACGAATTGTATATAGAAGATATTTACCTAACAAAATAAGATGGTTAAGCAGAACACACTGCTCTGGTATTCCAAAGACTACATTCATACAAGTCATTCATTGCATGTTTATATGTTTCCAATATTACTCCTGAATCTAAATCTACACTGACGATTGAATTATTAGAACAGCATTCATTCTTTTATAATTTAAAAACACTTCTCATTTTTTCAGAACACCTGGTCTTAATCTTAAAGATGTCAAGAAAGTTTGGTCTAAAGAAGGATACTCAAAGTCCTCTAAAACCATTGCCATCAAGGGTAAAGAACAGCTTAAAAAATCAAACCCAGTAACTGAGGTGAGGTTCTAAGTGTTTTCTTTGAATGATTCTTTGACATATCATTTACTTTTTGGATAAAATCTTCAGCCATAATACATAAACCCTTATGTGGTTTACCATAGTATTGATAGTATACAGGGTGTTTGCAACTCATTACAGATATATGTCACTTTAAATTACTGTAAATTTCTTTTGTTTTCATCCCTTCTGTTAACATCCAAGTGAAAATAAAGTATTTTACATAATAGTGTTGAGAAAGGCAATACAGTTTATCATTAAATGTTGAAATGTTACAATGTTGGTGTCTATACTTGTATGTTTACTACATGTACATGTATGAGGACTATGCTAGTACTCAATGCTTTTCAGGATAGAAGTATTGTCTAATAATTTTAAAGACTCTTCATTATGCCCACACTTTCATATGTGTCCATTGATGTCTACAACTTTTAGTAACTAGCACAATGGTTTTTTTTTCTGATCCAGCTAAACGCAGTAGAAAAGGTTACACCCCAAAATAAATCTCTTCCATTGACAACAGAGTCATCCCCCACATCACTTGATATATCTGATGAGGAGATGAGAAAATTGAAACTTGCAAATGCATTGTTCAGTGGAGTGACTTCTAATACAACACCTAAACAGGTATAGATATTTACGTATGTTTGGATCACAATGTCAATTCCATAAAATGTATCTTTATTACTAAGAGTTTCTGATACTCGTATATATACCATGCATATATTTTTATGTCTAATAACTTCTGTCTCTTGAACCATTTCTGTGCTGTACTATTACTCTATTATTAATCAAACAAACCATATCATCAACAACAACTGTTATAATTATATTTTAATTATTTATGTTTTCTTGTGAATAATATTTACTTTTTCTTGGTGCATTTCAGACATTGGGGAGCAGAGCAGGCAGACTTTTTTCACAAGAACAAATACAGCAAAGAAACACACCATTTACAGATGTTCTCATAGAGGGCGTGCGAAAATCACCAACTGAGAATTCAAGTATTGATTTATTAGCTGGAATTGATTTCATGACTGTTGATCAGAAAGAGATTGATCGTATTGGTGTCAGCAGTGGTGACACTGCCGGTGTGGAGTGTGCCACTGGTTCTACTCAAAATACAAAACTAATAGATGTGGTGTTATCACAAACCCATGGAGACATTGTTGGTGAAGTACAGGGAGAAGTTGACAACAAAAAAAGCACAAGATGCAAGCAATTCGATTCACTTCAAGGAAATCTAACATTGGAGTCAGATTTTAACAGTGTGCACGCTGGTGACCATAAACATGTTGAAAACATTTCTGGTCTTAAGGATCTTAATATAAACACTTTTAGAAACAATAAATTAACTGTTAGTATAAAGACAAGTGATGTTTTGAGACCTGGAGAAAATATATCATCACACGATTCAAACACTGACAGTGTGATATCATATTCAGACAACAATGACAAACTCCCACAAACAAAGAAATCAGTTTTATCTGAACAATCCTTACTGACTAAAGATACGGTGACTGTCTCTAATGTTGGTCTACTCGACAGTGAATATGATGATCCGCAAAATGAACAAGAACCAGACCATTTTGCTCCCAGACTTCCCCAAGATCTAAAAGGATTTGATCATTCTAAGGAGTATAGCAATTTGACATCAGACTCTATATTACGGGTTTTATCGACAAAAGTCTGGAAGTCAGATTCTTTAATAATTGTACTATTTCTACAAAATCAGAGTATACATGCAATCAAGGATGCAACAGTGAAAGTTGATGTTCCATCTAATCTTAAGGTCAGTATATTTAATTACAATAGGCAGTATTGACAGTTTATCTCTTCGGCCTAAAGTTTTTTTCAACTAAAATGATTTAATCAAATATCACAATGTGTTTGTGAAATACTGAAGCATTTGAAGTGATAGTCGTAAGGCCTTCGGGACTGTTATAAGTCGCTATGCCATCACTCTCCACTATATAGAAACCAATCACAAGTCACGGGGAAATACAATATTTACTCCTGAATTTCAGAGTTTTGCTGAGCGAAATGTTCGAAAACATGTTCTATCTTCAAGGTAAAAAAATAGAACCAATTTGTACTTCTGGAGATGGATTATCAGACAGTGAACAGAAAATGTCGACACAAGATTGATTTTTTTTTGTGCCAGGCGACAGTTCTGGACATTGAGTGTCACTGTTGTCTCTCCTTACATTTTTTTTGTATGTGCAAATTGCAAGAGCTAGTGCTGACACATAGTGCATTTTGCCACAGAAGTCATATTCATGTTTGGGACTAAATGACAGGGCTGTGTGGCCATCTCTCTGTCAAATGTCATTTTTTTAATGCGCTATCCTGGCGTCAACCAGGCCCGGTCGAACACAAGCACCTGCAGACCTTAACCAAAGTTCCCCCAAAGTCACATTCGTTAGTGAATCAATCTCGGCCAGTGGAATTGGCCTTCCCATTGGGTTGGGTTGGGGTCGACCCTTTGATGTTCAGCCTAAGGTAGGATTTGAACTTCGGTCTACTGATCATGAGTCTGATGCGACAACCACTATGCTACCAGTGACCGGTTGACACAAGATAAACAAGCATATGCGTGGTATTTAGTATCTCATGTTTTGACCTTTCTATGCAGATAAGCTTCACCGATATGCATATTTTATCACTTCATCCAGATGCATGCATAATTAATAGCAAGGCTGAGCCTTCAGCCTGTAACAAGCCTTATGGCCTTTGCTTTGAATGCCTTTGGCATTTCACAAACGCATTACAGCATTTGATTAAATCATTTTAAAAAAAATATTAGGCCTGGGGAAATGTAGACATTCTTCTAATTTTCTGAAGGTACAATCTGATTAAAATAAGCTTTGCATATAATTTCCTTTTTTCGTTTTATTATCTACTTAAATTTTAGTTACTACTTATTTGCAGAATTAACATCTCCCAGAAAGTAGGAACAACTAAATTTAAATGAAAAAATAATAGTACTTAAAACATAAATCATTTTAAAAAAGGAGCACAATCAGAACTGATGATTATTGTTAGGTTTGGCAGCTTCATATCCAGTGTCTGAATGTGTAACAATTGCTATAGATGTGCAATGAATCGAGCAAAGTACATATATGTAGATAATGAGGTCCATTGAAAGTACTATAAATGTATTAATTATTCACTTGGTTTTATTTTTAATTTCGCTGATAAATAAATCCGCTAAATTGAATCTACATGAGCATGTAAAATAACATTAAAACTATTTTGTGAAATTGAAACACAATGATTATGCTCAAATTTCAAAATAGTGAAAATAAATGCTTTTACAGTATCTGTCAAATCACAATAGACATACATGTATATATATTTGTATTATTCACTTGTACATGTACTGTGTCATTAGTACTCTATTTATTTTCTACATAGGCTGTCATCGATGGGAATGAGTGCAATTCAATAACTGTATCTGAAATCATCGCCAATTGCTGTCAGTCCAGCATAGTCACTTTTACTTGTATAGCGCCCTCACTCAACATGGTACTCGGTGGTCAAATATGTTACAAAGATAAAACTAATACTTCAAAAAGATTGTTTTTTAACTTGTCTATTTACATGACTGATTTATTAAGGTAAGTTTTTTTTATTTTCCATGCTTAGTGAAACACTTGTGTTGTTATAGCTCTACATATCCATCCTCAAATCAGCATCAAGCTACAAACAAGCTTGTGCATTTCTCTACTCATCTAATCACATGTCACTTGACTGTTTTTTATCAAAGGTCACATGACTAGACCTGATTTGCATCAAAGGTCAAATGAATAGACCTGATTTGCATCAAAGGTCACATGACTATACCTGATTTGCATCAAAGTTCACATGACTGAACCTGATTTGCATCAAAGGTCACATGAATAGACCTGATTTTCATCAGAGATTACTTGACTAGACCTGATTTGCATTAAAGGTCACATGACTAGACCTGATTTGCATTAAAGGTCACATGACTAGACCTGATTTGCATCAAAGGTCACATGATTATACCTGATTTGCATCAAAGGTCACATTACAAGACCTGATTTGCAACAAAGGTCACATTACAATACCTGATTTGCAACAAAGGTCACATTACAAGACCTGATTTGCAACAAAGGTCACATTACAATACCTGATTTGCAACAAAGGTCACATGACAATACCTGATTTGCAACAAAGGTCACATGACAATACCTGATTTGCAACAAAGGTCACATGACTAGACCTGATTTGCAACAAAGGTCACATGACTAGACCTGATTTGCAACAGAGATCACATGACTAGACCTGATTTGCAACAAAGATCACATGACTAGACCTGATTTGCAACACAGATCACATGACTATGCCTGATTTGCATCAAAGATCACATGACTGAACCTGATTTGTTGGTAATGATCTTTGCACATATGTTACCTTATATGGAAGTTGATGCGCTATAAACATGCATAAAAAAAGATTGCATCAAAGGTCACATGACTACCTGATTTGTATCAAAGATTACATGACTATACTACGGCAACCGAGGTGGCTCACAACATGGCATTTTATAAAACCATTTTTACTATTCATTTTAATTTTATAATTCCTTTTTAAACACCATTTTCGGTTCTGAAATGGATTTTTAAAACCCACTTTCGTTTCTGATATCTGTTTTCATTTAAAAAAAAACAATTGTTTAAATCCATTTTCATTTTCAAAATCCATTTTTAATTTCAAAATCCATTTTCGTTTTTAAAATCCATTTTCGTTTTCAAAATCCATTTTTATTTTTAAAATCTGTTTTCATTTTCAAAATCCATTTTCATTTTTAAAATCCATTTTCTTTTTTTAAATCCATTTTCATTTTTAAAATCTGTTTTTGTTTTTACCTGACTAATCCGTTTTTATTTGAAAAATCCATTTTCACTCTTTTGTTGAGATTTGAAGTATAGGTATATACGTATTTTTCACGTTGAGGCAAATTTTCCACCAGAATTTACATAAAAATCGCTGTTGTTTCCCGCCTATCGCCTATTATTTTTTCACTAAGATTCTCACGTGTTTTGATATCATTTCCAACTTGACCTCTTATAGTGTGTTTTTATTTCCACCAGTGAATGTTTCCTT